GAAGAAGAGAAGTTGAAAGAAAAGAGAGCAATTTATCTGGCCGCCCCCTTCACTTATTATTTATACTAAAATAATAGAACAGTACAAAGACAACTATGCCCTTATAGGGTGGCAAAACATAAAACAGCATATATAACACTCAAAAAACATAATAAAATTTGGACTCACATAACTACTATGGTCCCCACCTTCTATCTAACAACTATCATAAACATCTACTCAGAAAAACATCATAAAACTAATTAATCTTCAACAGACGGGAGTTCTAGAGGTAACCCGGGCCCTTCAGGTATAGGAGGAGTATTCAAAGATGAAAATGGCAGAATTGTGGCTATGTTTTCTGGACCAATAGGAGTGGGGGACTCATTGAGAGCGGAGGTGATGGCCTTGCTTCAAGGTATAAGATATGCCAAACAGTTGGGGTTACACCAAATTGAGAGAGGGAGACTCTAAATTGTTGATTGAGTGGCTGCAATATGGTAAGTTTGGAGCCTGGATTTATAGACAGCCCATAAGGGAAATCCTCAACACAGCAAGGGAGATCTGTGCATGCTTCAAACGGACAAAGAGATCAGCTAATGGTTTAGCTGACACGTTGGCTAAACAAGGGACTGTGAGGGAGAGAATGTTCTTGGCGGTTTTGTAAAAAAGATTACTGGGGGCTCAACACCTGTTTAGGGGTTCACAGCTGTACTTAACTCTGGAAAGTTATTCTTAAGTTGTATTAATGAAGTTACCATTTCCAATAAAAAAATACACTAAAAATCAGCTGCAAAATTTTCCTTACTAGGTCTTCAAATTCTGGAAGAAGTTACACCCAACCAATAATCCTTGAGCTGATCAATGCCCCTAACTCTTCATTGCTAGAAGATAGTGTCCAATAGATAGGTTAGTTGTCTTAAGAGTCATAGTATTTTTAGAGAGTCATATAGTGTTTTTGGAATTTTCAAAGCTCAAAGATTCAATCATGTCATTTTTATTCCAGCCTATTTTTCAGGCGCCAAAACTTATCCATTTTGCATGGCTATTGTTCTGTTAGAAAGGTTATCAAGTTTTCTACCCAATGAGACTAAGCCCTTCTAAATCTGGTGTGTTTTGAGGAAGTTGTAGCTATTTTACATATGTGTATCAGTCTATGACGAGATTTGGGTCTTTCTATTTCTTTGGGTCAATCATAGAGTGATTTTTCATTTTTTCAATTTTAGGAGTCAATCTTTCTTAGAGTATCCCTACAGGAACTATTGTGTTTTCTTAGTTTTGAAGCAATTAAAAGTTGTTTTGGGTTAATTTTTTAATTGAAGTTTAAGTCTGTAAGGGGAAACTCCAGTGATTCCATGAATTGAATGACTGTAATTGGAATTGAAAAGTTAATTAATGGAATGAAGAGTTTGTTTCAAAGCTACTTGCGAGTAATATTTATAAAAAAGTTACTTGCGAGTAAGAGTATGATATTCTTTCTCTATCTTTCCTTCTGAAGTGCAATATTTTTTCTTGGTATTTCAGAATGCGAAGACTCCTTGGTATTTCAGAAATGAAATTAAAAAATTTAGAAATTTTTCAAGGGACATGCAGTTGATAATTCAGTGGACTCCAAGATCAGCCAATGGTCTAGCTGACCAATTAGCAAAACAAGGGGTGAATAGGAACAGTGTTTTGGGGCTCAGATGTAAGAATAAAAGATATTAAAGCTATTCTTGTTTTTTTCAGGGAGGTAGCCAAGGCTACCCGTGATTTGTACATGCACTATTTCATTAAGGAATACATTTTGGTTCTGTTACTGATAAAAAAAGTGCAATATTTTCTCTTTCTTTATCTTGTCTCATCAGTTATTAATTTCTCTCTTATAATTAGATCTTTAAAATGAAACAAAATCATTGATAAAAAAATCCAGATCCTTTATTCCCCTTCTTTACTCACCATGTCCAGCCAAGTAGGAGTCTCTCCTTTCTGTTCTACATCAATAAAACGTCTTTCCACTTCCTTGCACATTTTTTTTTATTTGGTTTTAAATTAGCACTTATCAGTAGTTCTTCAATTTGTTTCAGATGATTCATTATGTCTACCTGAACTTAATGATCACATGGTGATAAGTTCTATAGATTGTTTATCTCAGGTGCTTACTGTTAGACCCCAGCAGGGAAATTTCTTGTGGGAAGATTCAAATTCTTCTGATTTAACATGTCCTGCATAGTTACTACATTTTGATCTTCTTGGAAATGACCCTCTTAACATGATTTTGCTGATCTTGATTATGCTATGTTATCAGATTTCTTTTCGGACATCTACAGTTGGAAAAGCGACTGGCCTGTTTGGCTTATTAGCCAAGGTAAGTTGAGAAAGGTTGTTTTTATTATTATATTCCATTGAGAATTAATATCTTAGTGTTGTACTTGCACAAAATTAAGGTTTACAGAGGTGGCAAAACTTTTGTGATGAGTTAGTTGCTGACCTAGACTGAGAAATTGGCAGATTTCTACATTTTTCTGCTTGCATTAAGACTATTTTTTTCAGTCTTAAATCTGATTGGTAAAGCTGTAATATTTGTTGCAGTACTACAAGCTCTATTTGCAAATTCTCACACTACCCATATTTGTGATGGGATACTGTGTTCCTCAGGTAACATATCTAACCTTGCGCCCCTTATGATTTAGACATTATTATTATTATTATTATTATTATTATTTTTTTTTTTTTTTTTTGATCAATAACAATTTCATTAATTCAACATAAGAATAATTACAAAAAGGAAGACAGACACACTTATCTTCCAAATACAACTTGGGTCCTCAAGAAAGAAAAGAACAGGAAGAAACAATAAAATTACCTGAGTTCTCCTTACTAGTAAGCATAAAGTAATGAGTCAAATTCCACTATGGAAATCAGTGTATTTTATCATGGTAGGACAGCTAATGATCTCTTGCCATTTCTATAAGAACTACAATTATCTGATTTCTTTGCTCTCATCACCAAAATTGTTACATGAGTTACCAAGGATGCTGTGTCACTATTTTTATGAGAATGCACCCGAACTACAGCAGAAGAATCCATAGTGAACGCACAAGCTGCATTAAATGAGTCAAAACATTGAAAATCTTTGAAAACATATTTATGGATGACCTTTCTAGAGGTTGGCAATGGATAGCAGAATCCTTTAGCCTTAGAGCTTGCATTTTCTTGCAATGGTGCCTTCCAGATCAAATTAAGCTAAACTTTGATGGCACTAGTATTGGTAAGCCAGGCCCTTCTGATATAGGTGGGGTATTTAATGATGGTAGTGGCTCAATACTAGCTTCATGCTTTGGACCAATTAGACATGGAGACTCTACTTGAGCAGAGATAAAGCTCTACGTCACGACCTAAGTGTATTGAAATCTCTGAATTTCTAAAACTTAATGGTGATTTGGAAGTTGTGATAGGATAGTTAAGGAACAAGAGCAGAGTCACATGACAACATTGGAATGCTATGAAGGAAATACAATAGTTAAGTAGAGGAACAATTAGCAATTACAACTGGATTCATAGATCAGCCAACTGTATTGCTGATGCTATCAAGACAAGGGGTTAACAGACCTCAGCTGTTTTGAGGACAGCTAAGGGACAAGCAATTGTAATAGAACAGTAAAGTAAAAGGGGTCTGGCCTATTGTTGTGGGATTCAAGGCATTGTATATATTATATTTTTCGGCACTGCTAATAATATTTTTGACAAATCATTACTAATAAGATTTTCAGTTATCCATATTCCACAAAAAAACTGCACTGATTGAGCTGGGAGAAATGGTGATAGTGGTCCCTTTTTCAGCACTTGTAAAAGTGCAGTTGAAGCAACTCCTAGGTTATTGCCTAGGCAGTATCCTGGGCAGACAGTATATTCAAATTGGTTGTAAAAAATAGTATATTCAAATTTTACTCTTGGTGCTAATAGCACAGTTCTCTTTATGTTTAATTGCAATAAATCTCCTTTGGTTGTGATTAGTGATGAAAAATGGTGATTACAATTTAGAAGATTATGCTGTTATTGTGGATTAAAATGCTAGAAATGTCCTGTGGAATCATATAGTCTGATATAGTATCTTATTTCTGTTGTAAAGGAACCAGGACTGTAGTTTTTCTGATTAATTAATCAACCAAGTAGTTATTGTGTTGCCTATAATGGACAGAAAAATGGAACTCTAGGTGGGAACTCAATGACCGTGTTTCTAGAGAGATTCATAAGAATGGCAGATATATGACTACTGTTTTCATGTTTCTCTTCTATTCTTGTTGTATCTGAACAAGATTCTTTTTTTTTCTAAGAATTGCTTACCTTGCATGTTGATTCACTTATTTTGCAGGGGAGTTTAATCTATTGGGTAACCAATAGTTCACTGTCTGTCATTCAGGTTCGTTGTATAAGTCTATCTCCCATATTGAAGAACAATTCTATACTAATGTTGTAAAATGAACTTGCTCTTACTCATATTGGCTTGAGAAAATAGCAGATAAGAAATTTAATCAAGAGTATAACATGTAGTCATTGCTTCTGCATGCAATTAATTTGGCAGCAATTATCTCTCAACCATCCTGCTATTCGCAACAAGTTAGGTCTACCTGAAAAAGATGCTCTGGTAAAAAGTGAGACCTCTGGCAATTTGGAGAAACTTGAGATAAGGTCATTGGATACACTGGTGAAAAATAACTCTGTTAAAAGCCTCTCTCCTTATGAACTTCTTGCTGTGAGTAGCAATAAACATAATTTCATTTTCAATCTGTAATTGTCAAAAGCCTTGTTTAGCTTCTATCGCATCTTTCTGAGTGAGATTTTTTGCAGCTTTCGATCCAACTTTTAACAAAAGGAGATAAAGATAGAGCAATCGCATTACTACGGTAGAATGCTTGTCTTAACAGTTGTTTCAAGATGGTCAACAAAGGGTTTTTTTCCCACCATTGTTGTCTCTTAAGTTAACTTTTGGCTACAGAATGGCGCTTGAGAAGGATCCTGAATATATAAGGGCTTTGGTTGTTCTGGGGCAGACACTAATGCAAAAAGGACTTCTGCTGGAAGCTATTGAGCACTTTGAACATGCTATTTCCAAGGTCTTAATTCTGAAGCTCATTTGTTTACTTTAAATTTTGTTATGCTCTTGTTTTTTATGTCAATTGTTGGATTAGTCTTCACATGAATAGATGGATTACTGTCCTTGGTTATTCCCCTGATTAGAATCTTCTGTGGCATCTGAACAGTTATTAATTGTTGGTCATCCGACAGATGATGAGAATATTGATCTTTTGATCCTTTCATCCTCGTGGGCAGGTGTAACCTACATACGACAAGTAAGCCTCAATAACTCATTTCCTTTCACTAAATATAAAGTATTCAAGTAACTCTATAGACTCTAAAAAGCACCCTGGTACTGCCAATTGTGGTGGTTCCCTCTATCTTCCTCTCTGTTCATCTTCTCCTAGATTGTTGCAAATGACCAATCAACATTTCTAGGGTTAGTTATGGCCACTGATACTTCTTCTCAAAAGACAAGTGATTGGCCAATTGCTTATCATTATCCTTGTAGGTTCATAGCTATGACTAATCCAAGTGACAACCAAACCGATTTGGCTGGCAGGTCATTGCCCAAATGCATAGATGCTCGTCACATAGGGTCATTACCACCAAGGTTCAAAGTATTGATACAATATGCCCTGTATCGGGCATATTGTATCGTATACACTTGTTTAAAGGTGTTTTCTGGAACCTGTTTGTTTTATTTATTAAATAATATAAAAATATTTATAAAAATGAAAATTTGAAAAAAACTAAAAAAATAAAAAGCGCATTGTTTAAAGCACCGGTACACAGGTGTATCGATACTTTGAAACTTGATTACCACATTTTGGGTGCTGAAACGCGACATACAATTCTTTCTTGTCACGTCATTTTGTACTGGTGCTCCAAGAAAGTGATATTTATCTTATTGATTAACTCTATTCTACTTTTTTGCTTTCCCTTATTTTCCCGTTCATCAGGGTAGAAACGAAGAAGGAATAGAGCACCTGGAAAGGATAGCAAAATTGAAAGAGCCAGAGGATCCCAAGTGCAAAGCCCATTATTTTGATGGATTACTATTGCTTGCAAGGTAAGAATGTGGTCATAAATGATGTCAAATTTGAAGTTCTTGGATCTATTTGGACATGATTGTTATTTTCTGAGTTTCATATCTTTAAGCATAACCTGTTGCATGAACTGAACTATACAAATCAACATTCCAGTGCTTTATTAAATGAAGGACGAAAGTCTGAAGCGGAAAAACTACTACAAATGGCCGCTGCTTATAATCCTGCTTATAATGAATATTTACAACAATGCCGAGAAGACAGCTAATGGAGAGTTTTCTGAGAGTGTGAATTCTGGTTGAAGGGATTAGGTTTTCGTATCTTGGTATCCTTGAAATTGGTTAGATGAGAAAGTCAGCGCAGACTACGGAATTGAACTACTGCTGACCGGATTCAGCACCATGCATTTTCATTGTGCTGGGCCAGAGAGTCACTAAAATTTTGTAGGACTTAGATCTTTATTTTCTTATATTTACCTTCCCGAGGACTTTAAGATGTCAGCAGGCATCGGATGAAGCTGATCATATAAGAAGTTACATGTATCACATACCAACTGTGTATTTCATGTCATGTACCGTTTGCCCACCTTAATATTCTTATTTTTTTGTTCTTTATTTTTTTTTGGGTGTAAGCCTGTACTTGTTTTTTTAATTGAACATTACATAAATGTAGTTCAGTTACCACACTTCAAAGCGACTTCAAGAAAACTTCCATATATGTACCCGATTAAAATTATATATAAAGGAAACCACTAAAAAGATTGAATGATGGGGGGTTTAGCATAGTTAACAAAAGATTTAGTTAGCCATGAACGCCTAGCTATTATATGAGCTGGCTGTAGTACAGTTCTATTAACATGGATTAATTTAATATCTATAAGAAGTGACTAACAAAAGATTTAGTCCGTTTTACTTCTGATGTCAACTGAGATGAGACAGTTTCTGAGAGCAAAGAGTGGGCTGATTTTACTGAAAAACTCCCATTCTCTGTGCCTTTCCAAAGGAGTTCATCCCTAGGTAGGCTTGGAGTTTAGGGGAATATTGAGAATAGCCTCTACACTGGCATCCTCAAAAGCTTGAAAGAGATTGCCATTCCAGTTGCCTGAAACCAGGATGAAATCTGGGACCTTTGCTTCTGCAAATTGCTGTCTACTTTCCTTTAGAATGGGTATCTTGTTTGGGAGTCAAGGAATCCAAGAATCTAGTTGGAATACACAAAAGTTTGCAATCACTAAGGGCCCGTTTGGTTCACAGTTGGAATCGGAATTAGAATGGTCTATTCTCATAATCTGTTTGGTTCAAACAAGAATAGAAATGAAATTGGAATCAGCAGAAATGGGATTTCATTCCCAAAGGAGGGGGAGGGAATAGCCATTCCCTCAAATGGAGGAATGCTATTCCACCAGGAATGGGAACAAGATTCTAATTCCACCCAATCACACAATTGGATTCCGATTCCAGACCCCTATTCCTGTGAACCAAACGGGCCTAAGATACATGGCAACACCAACACTCAAATTTCGTTCTCACAAGATCGGTCCTCACACCGTTCTCGCAATACTTCAGCCGTGGATGTCAACCTAAGGTATTTGGTTGCTTTGCTCAAGGATCTCATTCTTTTGATTGAAGAACCCGTATGATTGTTCTCATTATCATGCAGCCATTAGTTTTCTCTTTGACCAAAGATAATGATTGTTCTCATTATCCTAAAAGGTTGTGATTACTAGGATGAGACATGTAAGACTTGGAGAGAGAGAGAGAGAGCAGAATTTATGACTAGACCTCTTCACGGTCCAGGCTTCAGGCCCAACTTTACATGTCTTGGGCTCGGGCTTCAGGCCGGGTCTATTAGAATTTTGACAAAAGTCAAACCCGAGCCCAGCCCATGAACAGGTCTAGTTACGACGTGAAACAACTAAACCGAAATAGAAATTGTCTTATGGAAACATATCTTTTTGTTAGTAGATATCATGTGTAGACTTGTTCCCGGGCTGGGCTGGGATTTGCCTCTTTATCAACAGAAAATGTCCAGGCCCGAGCCCAAGCCCAACCCGACCATTGGGCCTAGATTTTGAATACGAACCTGACCCTTATATAAAGCCCGAAGCCCGATTTGCACATAAAATGTCCTATTTTTTGTGCAATTTAATAAAATATTTTATATTAATTTGGTAATAATTTAAAAAATTAATTCATATTTTCTGAATAGTAAATTAATATTTGATAATAATTTAATAAGTATATATATATTATATAACTAATGTATATTTTTTTATTATATGTAATAGTATCAGTCATAGGTTGAGCTTATTTGAGAAAGCGCAAGCCCAACCTGAAAAATAGTCGGGCATGGTATTTAAAGCTTGAGCTCGATCCCGCGAGCCTGAAATTTTGTTCAAGCTTGAAAATATCAGGCCGGCCCTCGGGCTACCCGGCCTATGAACAAGTCAAATCATGTGATAATCATTAGTTAGAGCTGAAAATGTTGACTTGGTCAACAATCAGATGACTTAAGTTGTTTAATAGTTGAACTAGAACTGTTTGACCCGACTAGATGCTAATTCTATTTTCCTTTTTTTTTCTTTGTATTTTTTAACAATTTCTATTATTAATATTTAATATTAGAGGAATGCCTCTTTTTTGTAAAATTTTTATATCTATTTTTTAAAATTTTATTTATCTTTTTTTTGTTGCTTTTTTGAACTATTAACTGGCAACTTAAACAAAAAAGTGATTTCATTTTTGGATCAATTTTTAAAACATTGCTTAATTAAGGACATGAATGAAGGTAATAACTAACAACTAATGTTATAACACCTGAACATTAAGACTGGGTTTGGTTTGAAAGAAAAGGTAGGGAAACCAATACAAGGTTTCCCTACTTTTTTTATAAACCAAACACAGCCTAAAGTTTCTAGTTATGATAGCACTTCAAAGTCTCGTCACCTAGCTATCATTTATTTACACTAGTCATATTCTAAAAGAGGTCTCGCAGTGCATCTTGTTTGCTGACTTGGTATTAATTAATGAAACCAAAAAGGTCAAATACAAAATTAAACGTTTGGATAAATAACATAGAAACAAGATGTTTTAAAATTAACTTTTTATATATAATGTAAATTTAATAATAATAGGAGTGAAATCAAGGCAAACTTAGGAAGAGAATGAAGGGATGTTGCACTTGAGAATTATAGTAGGATGACAAGATCGGATATTGAATTTGGAGTCTTATGTGATAGGAGAATACCACTTAGGTTAAAAGTAAGTTTTATAAAATGGACATAAGGCTTCTAATGTTGTAAGGAGCAAAATGTTGGGCAGTCAAAAAAAACATGCCAAGGAGTTGAATATTGTAAAAATGTGATTTTGGAAATAAACAAGTGAGAAAATTAAAAAGAGTAAGATCAAAAATAAAGTTCTTGATCAGTACCCTCTATTTTGGCTCAAGTGACAATTTGGTCCCTAAACTTTAAAATGTGACAATTCAGTACTCGGACTTTCAAAATGTGACAATTCAGTACTCGGGCTTTCAAAATGTGACAATCCAATACCCAAACTCTCAAATTGTGACAATCCAGTACCTATCGTTAATCAGCTGCTAAATGGCATTTGAAAAGTCAAAAATGTCCTAAGAATGCCATTTAATTCTCTTTATCAACCATCCAAACATAGACGATAAAATGAACAGTCCCAAATTCTAGATTCTTCTAAACAATCACCAACTTTTTTGAATAGAAGAGGCTAGGATTTGGGACTATTCAGTCTTTTGTCAACGTTTGGATGGTTGATAAAGAGAATTAGATAGCATTCGAAGGGCATTTTTTATTTTTCAAATGTCACTTAACGGCTGATTAATGACAAGTACTAGATTGTCACATTTTGAAAGTTTGGGTACTGGATTGTCACATTTTAAAAATTCGGGTACTGGATTATCGAATTTTAAAGTTTGAAGACCAAATTGTTGCTTGAGCCAAAGTATAGGATACTAATAAGGAATTTTCCCTTCATTTTTTATTATCTATCAAAAATGAACTTATTCAGAGGAACCTAGGGCTTAGGAGTAGCTTCAATAAGTGATAAAATGAGAGTAAATTAAGGCCATGTTTGGGAATGCTTAAGTAAAAAATAAATGCTTAAAACATGTGCTTATTCAAGTAAGCACATATTTGCATTTGGCACCCAACTTTTCAAGGTCTTATTTTTTAAAATAAGCACTTATTTTATATTGGGCATTTGGTAGTCTTTTTCTCTAATAACCAATTTTTTCCTTCATTTTCTTTCAAGTTTTCAAACTATACCCTTTGAAAGCACTTTTAAGAAAGTACTTTTATGAAAGCATTTTTATAAAAACACTTTTCAAAAGCACTTTTATGAAAGCACTTTTATAAAAGTACTTTTACGAAAGTACTTTTACGAATATAAAGTGCTTTCATAAAAGTACTTTCATAAAAGTGCTTTCACAAAAGTACCTTCATAAAGTGCTTTTGTAAAAGTACTTTCATAAATGTACATTCATAAAAGTGCTTTTGTAAAAGTACTTTTATAAATGTACATTCATAAAAGTGCTTTTGTAAAAGTACTTTTATAAAAGGGCTTTTATAAATGTGCTTTTGTAAAAATGCTTTCACAAAAATACTTTCTTAAAAGTGCTTTCATAAAAGTGCTTTACAACTAGGATAATTTTATAAGTGGTATTTTAAAATTCAACTAGAGATAATTTTGGAAGAAAAAAATTGAATAAGTGAACACTTAAAAAAACTGGAAATTTGGGCTTAAAAAATAAGCCCTTATTTTTAAAATAAACACTTATTTGGGACTTATTTCCTAAATACCAATAAGTGCTTAATAGCCTAAATAAGCACTTATTTTTAAGTACTCCCCAACATAGCCTAAGATGGTTTAGTTATGTGGAGTGAAGACAATTTACAGTACTATAAGAATAGGGGTGAAAGTCAGACTGGATTAAGTAGGGTTGTTGAGGTCAAACCTAACCCAATCTGAATTGTTTAACCCTCAACCCTAACCTTAATCTTAAGGTTAATCCAGCTTGATGACTTCCGATTGGTTGGTTTGGCTGGATTTGAGTTGAATTCTCTGTTTCAACTCTACAGAACAGCCAGTTGAACGGGAAAAGAAAAAACCCAATTGGTGCCTCTGTTTGACATAGATTCAATGCCTCAACATGTACAAGACTCTTTTGAAGCAAAACAACGAGGCAGTTGAAAGATTAAAAGCTACAGTAAAAATACCTAAACTGCAGGAAATTTGTACATCATGAAAGAAAGCTCTTGATGAGGTCAGAGTTTCCATTGCTTCCAACAGATCAAGCCAGGGCAAGAACAATGCAGTGAGAGTCAGATGCCCCACAATTGCAATTATTGCATAATGTAATTCATTATTTGTAAGCGCCATATCAAGTATCTTCAACCTCTGTCCGCCCCTTTGCCTTCCCAATCCCTCTCCCTCATGTTTAGTCGTCACCTTCAACATCAATCTTTAGTCACAGCACATCACTCCCCAACAAAGAAAACTTGCTTAACTGAAGGAATCGTAATGAAGATCTTTCCTCTTCAATCAGTTATCAGAATTCTTGCCATCTGCAACATCTCCCATATTCTATTCCTACAGACAACCTTTGGATATCTCTCTTTCGAGTTTTCAATCACTCTGAGGGGGCGTTCTTTTTCTGGATTTTGAGGGGGGGGGGAGTTGGTCAATGGGATTTTGATTCCCATTGACCAAGAATCCTATGTTCTTTTTTCAGATTTATGTGGGGACCAAGGAAAGTTTATTTTCCTGGGTATCAGTTACCTCGGTAAGTGATACCCTTCTCCCAGGTGGGTAAATAACTTTCCCACCTTGGGGGGAAGTTGCCAACACTTGAATGGGACAAAAATGCCCCTTGTAATAATGAATTTTTATGGCTAAAGTGGTCATTGCCTCATTTACATGGGAAATAAAAGAATGTGGGTAAAGGCACTTACCCAGGTAAGTGTTTCCCAGGAGAGATTGCCCAGGTAAATAATTTACCAAAAAGAGAACGGGACCTGAAGGTCTGTAAGCACCGTTCATGCAAAGGTGTTTGCCTTAACACCTCAGGCTGTAGAACCGTGAAAGTCTGTGCTGCTTCTTTCTTTGCAGTACTAGTGAGCAGTGCCAACTACACTTGAGGGCATTATCCATTATTCCTTCCAAACTTTTCAAAGTACTACTGTTAAGGTCAAGATACCTTTCCTTCGATGGCAGCTTGAAAAACACATCAACCCCCATATTCTATTTTCAGGAAGGTTCATAAGCGGTGTCTCTATGCAGTTACATTTCAATACAAAATCTCTTATAAGGAATGTTCCATGTCCTAACCAACCTTATTGCTAGGCATTTCTTAGGAATATTTAGGGGATTGCATCATATGACAATTTCCTCCCAGACGTACAGTTGTGTATATGCATTTTCATGGAAATTGTTTGGTTATCTGTAATTTGGCAAGAGAATGAGAATCCATATTGTCAATAAAGATGAAATACTCTTGTCTTATGCTCAACTATTATTAGTAGCAGACTCCTGGATTCTGGGACCACAGTAACATGCTACATGTTCTCTATTAAGAGGATCGGGACCAACCAGCTACAGCTAGCTTGTCAAGCCAAGGAGCATATAGCTACACAAAGAACCATGGAATTTTGCCACCTAAACTTTAACCTGTATTAGGAGCATGAACTTTTCCACTTTTGAAACAGAGGTAGAACAAAACTGGTGAAAGGAACTGTTCGAGCTGAATTTTGATTCCTAACTGTGTTGGTTTGTTTGAGGCTGCTCCTGATCCACTGTGCATGTAAAAGTGTGGGAAGTTGTTGGGTATGCTATGTATGTTCTGTGTTCAAAGACCAAGTTTTGGCTTATTTGTAGGCTGGCTCTTTAACGATAACTCAGTTCCATGCATAATTTTTTTTTAAAGAGTAAGCCAGTAAGGTATCAATTTATTAAAAAGATGTGTACAAGTACACAAAAAGGCAGTACAAAGCCAAAAGCCAGCAACACTCACTTGCTGGCCAACAACAGGTATGTCAAAACTAAATAAAAGGACTTGCCTTCATTTCATGGTTTCTCAGCATTTTCATTGATTATAAGCTTTACCAAGAAAAAAAATTCCTTGGTTACTGCTACTACTATGTCAAAAGAAAAGAAAATATTTAATTCTTAGTTGTACTGATATGTACAATTGATCATACTAGGATGTTGCTTTGGTTTTCCTTCCCTGATCAGTATATGGGTGAAATTAACTTGTCCATGATCAAACTACAAGAAAAGGGACAAGAAATTGTATGTACAATAGATCAAGAAGGAAAGGAAAAATGCTTAGTAATTTACATGCCTATAAAACTGAAATAATGCCACTACTCGGATACTATACATTGGCTTCAAATAAGGTAATGACAGATTGAGATCAATTCTTATTTCTCAATGCTGATTTGAATCTAAAGAACTGAATTTGTTCTCTTCATATCCTTTAGCATAGTCTCTGCATCTTCTGGAAGGGTTTTGAGCTGATGTTATTGCACCTGAATCTGATTGGAGGTTCTGTAACTTTGAATGTGAAGCAAATAGGGTGCCATTTATGCCCATAGACAATGCCAACCATGTTCACATTCTGATTCTCTTCATGAGGTTATGGAGCACCTCCCAAATCCAGGTATGCCAACAAATTTGGAAAATCTATATGTGATGCCAATGCATGCACATGCATATATATCTCTTTGTTCTCTTTCAGTGGTACAGCAACTCATTGTCATTGAAGCTGGTAGCAAGTGTGTTGAAGGCTCCTTTATTTCCTACAGGTGGGATGAATGCAGGTAGTAATAATGGCCTTCAAAATTCAGGCAGTCAGTAGAGATTTTCTAAGAACCAATGTCATGTTCTAGCCTCATGCCAAATATACCAATAGCTGTAATGGAAGTTTCCTCCTTGCTACAAGCAGCCAGTTTAGAAGTAGGAAGATTGATCCGGGATGATATTCATCTGTCTGAGTACCAAGGCAGCTTTCTTCTTGAGTTTGTTGTCTGAGAGGAGGTGAACAAGGATTGTCTCAGACCTCTGGGACACTGAATGTGTAATCTCTCTATGCTCTAAGATCTTCTGGAAGAGGACAAGTGCTTTGTCTTTTGCAGACAAGGAGCCCTTCTCTAGCACCTCTAGAATCGCTACCAGGCCCTCACTATCCACTATGGCAGCAGCTGCATGTGGGAGTGTGCTCTGGTCCATTAGCAGGGTTTCAAGTGCCATTAGAGCCGCCTCTGCTGCACCAGAGTGTGTGTCAGTCAGAATTTGCACCAGTGGACGTAGTGCATCTGCCTTTACCAGGCAAAAGGTGTACCTGGATGAACAGGTGGACCCATGAACAGAGCACAAGTTATGCTTAGGTGTTGAGGCTGAGCAGCACCAAAACATGTTGGGGAAGAGACTAGTTACTCGTAACATTGGCATGGACTTGGTTGCCTGTTTGGCAATGGTGGGTGTATTGATGGTTAACAGGTTGTTTGCTTGGGATAAATGAGCAAGTGCAATTGCAGTCCGTTGCTTAGTGACTGAGCTGCCCCTAGAGAGGAGCTGCACCAGTAATGGGTACAGTTCAAGCTGGCCTACTTGCCTCTGAAGCCTAGGCTTGGATGGTTCTGTGTAGCGTAATAGTGCTGCTAGAGCATTCTCCAATAAGGACTCACCTGGTTCAACTGGTTCCTTGGTCCTACAATGCTCATCTTCTGCAGTGCTGATCACCTCCTGAATTGCTTTCAAAGCTTCAGATTTGCAGAGTATCTCATCAACAATGATGTCATCAGTTGGAAGCAGGCCTATGATTCCAGCAGCTGATGATCTCTCTTGGACCTTTGTTGAACTGGTGAGAATGGCTACTAAGGTGGTAATTGCAGCCTCCTTTTCTGGGGATGGTGGAAGTGGAACCCCAGTAGGATGGTCTTTGGAAATGCAGTATATGAGCTTCATTGTTTCTTGTCTTACATCAGATTGGCTGCAATTGAGGGAAGAAAATAGGTCGGTTACTGCTTTCTTATCTGATCGTATCAGGTCTCGAGTTGTCTCAGATTTATTACTTAGAACAACTAGAAATTGTAGGAACTGAAGCTTTGTTTGGCAGTTGGAAGCTGCTGCCAATTGCAGAAAGAGGCTGACATTGTACTCAGATTGAAGTTCCTGAAGGCATGGATATTTCTGGAAATCAGGGACTTGGCTTGAACCAATTAACAAGGTGAGGATCTCTGTGGCTTCCTGTTTCCAGTGTAAATCAGACTTTGAAAATGAGATGAGACCAAGCAAGCATGGTATTGTGATTGTATCTGCCAGAAACTGTTTGCTCATCTTGGGGACGTCCAGTAGCTTCTTAATGCACTGGCATGCATATTTGCGTGCTGGAGAGCTAGATGAGAGCATCTCAACTAGCTTGTGTATGAATTGTTTATCTTCGAGGTTCTTCATGCTGTTTTCATCAAGTTGCATATTAATTAGGGCCGCAGCCATTGAAGCTCTGGTCTCTGAAAGTCCTGAGGGAAGAAGAAACCAAGAGAATAAGCTTCATTGTGCAAAACAGAAAAGAAGTGAGAACAAGATGCATCGCTTTTCCACCTTGTTTAAAGCATTCAACAAATGGTTGGAAGTGCCCAGCTTCTGCCATCTTGATGACAAAATTGGTATTGGAAGAGAGATTTTGCAACACATTTTGGACTTTCTGTGGGATCTCAGGATTATTATTATGGAGCAGAGATACCAGTAGAGGAATGCAGTCTTTGGTATTCCCTATTTGCTCCACAAGTGTCTCCTTTGCAGACAACTCTAGTAAGATTGCAACAGCATCTGGTTCAGCCTCACCTTTGTAGAACTGCTTCACTATTCGGCGAATTGCTCCTGCTTTGACAATGGTTGCCTGCAATTCAGTGCCAAATAAATACTAGATTTAGCTTTTAGAGTTGATGGAGAACAGATGGGTTTGCAGTCAGATGACATACTGACGTATAGATTCATGATTACCTTGTTGTCTTCTGAATGTATGGAGAGGTAGTAGAGACATTTAAGAACTGCCTTGGTGTTTAGCCTGTCGATTTTTAGGAGTTCCACCATCCTTGGGATCAAACCCTTCTCCACAACTTCATCCCTGTAGCAAGGCATCTCCATTAGAACTTGCATATCTTGTAAAGCCTTGTTCAGTGTGTCATGATCATCAGAAGCAATGCTGTGGACTGTATTTTGAAATTTCAAGTCCATATCCCTTTTCTTCCACTCTAAAATAGAATTTCGAAGAGAGAGGTTTGGGGTAAGCTCCTGAGAAGGGAGGTGCAGTCTGCAGGTAGGGCATGTAGTCTCTCCTATTCTGAAGTACTCCTGTATTGCTTGCCTCTCAAAGCTGTGCCCACACAGAATAGCAACAGGGTCTGTCATTATATCTTTACACAAGGGGCATGTGAATGAGTCAAATTGGTATTGCTGATATGTGGTGGTTTCTTCTTCTTTTGGGCTTCTGACCATTTCTGTACTGTACAATAACCGTATCAGTTGAGAAAGCTGAAGGGCCTCAGCTTGCTTTTTCTGAACTTCCAACTCTTCCTTCTCCTGTTTAAGCAAAGCCAGTTCATTCTGTACAAGTGAAGCATTTGCACTTGTGCCAACAGCATCTGCAATCTTATGTAGCAGATGGATAGCATGGTCCCTATTCCTTTCATTCTGAGCTATTGATTTCTGAATCTCTGATGCAATGCTTTCAGTAGCAGCTGCTGATCGGAACTCCATTGACCTCAGGTCGTTGATGATTTGGTTGACCTGTACTTTCAAGTTCAGGGTCATGTCAAAATTTGCCAGCCCCAAGGACGATATGGTCTCAGCAATCTCTCTCGCTAAATTTTGCATCTGTGACAGCATGGACTGTGAATTAAGTAGAAGACGAAGTCGGCTCCAAGATTTGTAATCTCTGATGATATTGTGGGCTTTCTTCAGCAGAGAATCCAAAGTCTCCAGTGCCTTTCTTGTAGGAGCTAAACCTGTGATGGCCTCAATCCTCTTCGCATGTAAGGCTTGAAAGAGAATATTCATCGCTGAGATACACTTGGAGAATTCTATGAAACTTTCATTCTCAAACGCCACATCCTTGGTTTCGGTAACAATTAGCGCTGCTCCAAAAGTTACTTTATTCCACAGTTCCTGTAATACCGCTACACCAAGGTCCGTCGCATCGATGCTGAAGTCCATCGGGTTCTGACTTATGATCGAGGCTTCAAAGTCTGCTCTAACGTTAACGGATTCCTTGATGTCAAGAGGTGCTGGGCCTGGGTGGATTCAGTCAGTCAACCTATCCTCTTCTCTGCTGTACGTCCAATCCTGCAAAGGACTAAATCAAAGCTACCGAGTCAAGGATCTGAACAGTAACGAGCTGTGCCATTCCTCTAGCAGGTTCTCTGGTTCGGAGACCAATTTATTCTGTGTAGTCCCTTGCTCAAATCTCTGGCAGGAAGAGTAATGGCGGTAGCTATTTTGTATAATGAAAAGCTTAGAAACTCACCTTTTTCTTTTCTGGAGCTGAAATTCATTGGTAAACACTAAACATCCCCAGAAACATAACCTGGAAATTCCCTTTACTTGTTCAGTATTTGCGTCTATCATCTACCCACTATTGCTGGCAAACTCGACAGCAGATGGAAGAAACACAGAGTGAGCAAAACGTTTGTCCAGAACGCTTGGTGCACAGAGATGGGGGAAGCAGTTTCTGCTGGGAGAACGCTTGGCTTGACTTTGACTGGTGCATGAATATATCAAAAAGAAGATACAGAGTGAGAACAACGTCGGATTTCTTACCGGATTCCGCTGGGAGAAGGAGGTAAAGAGGTGGGAAATCTAGATGTGAAGTTGAAAAAATTTGTTTGTTTTTAATTTGTTGCCGGGGAATTGGAGGAAATCACCAAGTAGATTCTAGTGAACAAAATAAAAAATTAAAAAAAAAAAAGAAAGAAAGAAAGGAGGGGTTGAACCTTGAACCTTTGGACGGAGTCTGCGATTATCTGGATGAGCCTGGGTCCCACTAAAACTCTTCCCCTGAATTTTCGTCACTACTGATTTCACTGTGATGAAGACGGAGGAGAAATCAGCTATACCCTCTGGAGCTGGACGGCTGGAATAGCGCTGGACTAACTCGACGTAAGGTAGGACAACGGCAATTGGACGAGTGAACCTGCGAATAAGAGTCGTTCACAGAACGCGTAACGTTAACGTTTCAAGTCCCGTTAGGTGGATTCGGCACGGTTCAACCGGATATAAACCGGCCGCAAAATGACAAAATAGAGATAAAAAACCCTTGACAAACCTCATTTTTGGCATTCCCCTGTATGCTTTTCCCCTGCAGACCGAACCCTACCCACACACCGGCGATCATACAACAGTGAGTGACCCGAACCAGCGGTCGTCGGCGACGACGGTGAGAGCTCCGGTGGTACGTTTCTCTCTTCCTCTTCTTCTTCTTCTCTGATCTGATTTGAAATCCAATCTGAACAAGGTGCGGCTATTTAGGTTTCTCGTTTCTTCTTAGTATTTTGATGCTCTGATTTCTTCTTAGAAACAAAGAAATAATCTCATCCTTTTGAGCCAAAAATGTCAGTTATATCTCTCCCCTACCTGTTCAATGTATTAGACGGATAAACACATTTTGATGCTCTGATTTCTTAGAAACAAAGAAATGAGATTGTTTTACCTGGGCAAGTACATGTATTTATATTCTTTTTTTTGTTCAATTTAGCAGGTAAATGAGATTGCTTACTTTCACATATTCTTTTGCAACATGCACCTTCCTGGGTAAGTTGGTATTTTTTCACATCTTCTCAATTTTACCCTTTGGGTCCAAGTCCATGTTTCGAACACCATTGCAGTATGCACAGTGATTTGTCATTAAAAACTGAGCTCTAGCGGATTAGCCCTATACACCTTTGCAGTGCGCCAATTTATTCCATATTTCCACAACTCCAAATCAGAATAGATGTCAAAGCATTAAAGCCTTCATTACCCAGCTCCAATCTATTCCTTTTGTTTTGTTCATTTGGAATGCAAATGAAGTAGAGCCTAAAGCAAAGTAAAACCTGAAACAAAAATTATTCAAACATTACACTCTTTTTAAGCAAACTAAAACCTGAAGCAATTGGACCAAAAACTTGCACTCCTATACATTTATATCAGTGTAATGCATTTGCACAGCAACCAAATGGAGCATAAATAACAAATGATGATACCTGGTGCTCCATCACTACATTGAGAACCATCAGACTTTAGTGGCATTACATATAAATGAGAATCAAGTGCACCATTTTCTCCTTCAACCCCATAATAGATGCCAGAGTTGTTTAGATGAGGAGAGAGAAAGAGGCTTGTTGGAACTGCAGTAGAAACAACTGCAAAGGAAGCTTGTGTCTGATTATTATGCTGTTGATGATGATGATGTGGGTCTAAGGCAACCTCCATGTTAGAAAATTGTAAAGGAAGGCTTTGGAGATGTAATGAACTCAAATCAAACCTTCCCTTACAATATTTTACTGGGTGGAAGCTTATTACCATGTTATTAATATTCCTTACTCTAAGTCTGTGAGTGGCTACTTTGTTCAAGAAAATGCCCAAATGTTGGGTTCCTATCCAGTCCACCCCTCCCAACATCCTAGATAGCTAGGACCAACATTAGGTAATATTCCTTTTTACTGTAATATGGGAATTTATGAATGAGTCTTTAGAACTAACACAAGCCATTCTTTGTTTTTATGTTTCTGTTACAGCAAGAGAAAAGATCAGCAATACCAAATATATCTACATTTGGTGCAATTGCTGAAAGTCCAAACTTAAGAAACCTGAAGTGGAGATAGATAGCTTGAATCAACCATATTAGAAACTTGAATGGCTACATCACTTCCATTTCATGCTTCACTATGCCCAGAAGTCATCAAATGATTTGCCTTTTGAGATATATCTCATGATAAGCAGTAACTCTTCAAGCAAGTACACTGCCTCTCTATAATCAAACAGCATTTTGGCTGTAAATAAAAAACGAAGCAATATAATAATCAAAGAATAAGTGGAACTCCATAGTATAAATGCAACTTTATCTGACAAGAGGAGAAAAGCCTGTATGTGGTTGCCTCAAAAATGTATTAAAGAAGCTATAGAAATATCCATTCACCTCTGAGCACATAATTGCAACTAAAATAATCACAAATGTTACATGGATTGATTACATCCATTCAGATCTAGTGATCTAGATGAGTCACAATGGACTCTAGCTCACTGAGTTCTAATGACGGGCCTCACGGCCTAGGGGAGGCTGAGGCTTGTGACTCTAAACATTGGTAACTATGTGATGTTCATCCTTCGTGTCCTCAAGGTTTATGTATCCAATTCTAATTTTAGTTCCACTGCACATAAGTAATGATGAGGCAAGCCCTAGTGATTGTACTGAAGTTTACTGAGGCCACTTGTTCCAATTCTAATGTAGGAATTGAATGAATCAAAGATGGGTTTAACTGTTTAAGAGGGTTAGGATGTGTTTAGGAGTGATCATAGGACAAAAGACAGATTTGTCCCAGTAGCCAGAACATATTGCCATTATCATAAGAAAATCCAATATTATCTAGTGACTATGAAATTCTAAACATTAATAATCTACCAACTGAACCACCACCAGTTGGCTAAGAAAGCATAGTTAACATCAGTCAAAGCCAAATTTTTTGAAGGTCATAAATATAGATAATCAAGATTGTTGCTCTAAAGTAAGATCATGGTGGAAGAATTGTTATTTCTAATGAACATCAACTGTTGTATAGGTATTTAAAATTTTCTTCCAACAAATTGGAGTCTACTAATGCTTTTCATTATTCACCTTATTGTTATCATATGAGAAAAACTAAGAAATGTGTGAAAATGGTGGTTTGATGAGACTGAAAATATCCATTTTGTGCAAAAGCACCAGAGTTTAGGTAGATATTAACCTCTCCCAAGACTCGGATAACTGGAACCAACATTAGGTAGTAGTCCTTTAAAATGACAAAGCTAAGAAAAGTAAACTAATTAGCTAAAATTTAGAAACTAATTGGTGTTTTGAAAATGAAGCACCTAAATGTTTTCTTCCCTCATAGATTTTATTAAGAGAAACTAATATAAAATAGCCCTGTGCCATGGACCAAGTGACAATACTATTCTAGTTAAGAAATATAGTAGACTGTTTCTTGTCATATTATTGGTTAACATCTAGTTCATGCCTGCTTGGCCAGAGAGTCAGCCATAGCAAATGCAATGGCTGATTCTCTGGCCAAGCAGGGGGTGTAAAGGGGAGATCTATTTTGGGCTGCTTTGTAATTGTGTCTCAGGCTTAGGCAGTTTTGGTGTATATGGTTCAGTCCTAGGGGGTAACATCTCGAGCCTCCTCCTAGGCTGATTGTATTTTTGTTATTTGATTTAATAAAATTACTCTCACTTATAAAAAAAAAAAAATCTAGTTCATGCCTCTTCTTAATTTCCAAATATTTATGTACAACACCAACAATTTCAAATTCAGAACTTAATATTAGATGAGAATACTGTTCTATACAACTAGAATATATAATACTCATTCTTCTCAATCACAAAGCACTAGGTACTATTCTAACTCATTGTTAACTCAGAGATGGTTTACCATACCCAAAACTATGTATAATATAGAAACTAAATCAATAAAGAAAAATAAATCAATAATAGTAACTTCCCTAAATACAAAGACATCCAACCAAGTCTCCTAACCCACCAAAAAGGGCTTACTAGTATTTCTTGATGAATAAGGGCTTACTAGTATTTCCATACATGTGTCTCAAACAACTATACAAAGGTAATCCACAATTATATCTCTCTAACAGTTAGGTTTAGGGACTATCACTACTCTAACCCTTGACAGGTTTTCTTGATAACCTTTCTATCATTTGAATACCTAAACCTCACTAATTTCAACCATGGATATGACTTAATTTCTTGAATTTTCAATAAAAAGTTCTATTAATTTCAATAGAACAGATGAAATCTCCACTATCCCCACAAAAATGTGAAAAAAAAAATGAAAAGAAAGGAACATGAATAAGCCTTTATTTTGCATCATAAAACAGATTCAAACTGAAATATATGGAACCATAAAAAATATAAAAGCATTCAAAATCACACACAAGAATAGGAAAAGAGCAATAAATTGAACCAGAATTGCACCTTAATCCTGCTCCAACTACTAATAAAAGATAAAAAAAAATGTTTCCTATTTTCATTATTCCAAACTAACAACAATATGTTTCTGCTCAAATAAAAAAAAAAAAAAACGAAAAAAAAAGAAAAGAATCCAAATGTTGGTGTTTTGATGCACTTATACCTGATACAAAAAAATAAAACCCTTTTATCATTGATTTCTCAAAAAATTAATGCCATATCATATGAAACGCCCAAAGACCTACAACTGGATAAGTAACCCCTACGTGTTTGGCCATCCTAAAGCTGACATTTTGATAACTTTTTCAGGTTGTTGTATATTTGAAATTATTGTACAACAACCTGCATTTAGAGCTCCCGTAAGACTTCGCTTGGGCTAGATTTCTTGGCTCTCTGAGTTTTACATGCCTTAAGTAACATTGTTTTAATAGCATCTCAATTAAACAGGATATAGCTGGATTGATCAACAAGATAAACAGATCCTCCATTTCTCTGCTCCCAACTGTGTATTCCTCCTCACTGTAAGTTTAATGTCCTCCAAAATCATTCTGGTACCCTTTCAACAAATTGGATTACCAAGAATTTTGGAAACAAGAAATCAAAATAAAAAAAGGAAATCAATGAAATAATAATAAAAGAGGAATAATAAAATGAGAAACAATTTTTTGAACGGGATGAAAAAAATAAGATGCATTATGTGCATCACGGAGGAACGACGGATCAACGGGCAGAGGAATAGTGATTCTTACCATTTCAATGGAGGAAAGAACAATGAGAAGCGGCGGTGGCAATTAGGCGGAGCAGTGACAACAGAAACTAGGCGGAGCGGCGGCGGCAAATGGGAGGATCAATGGTGCCGGCAACAGAGGGAGGACGAAGATGACAGATTGTAGGAGGATAAACTCTTTGGCATTGGTGACTAGACGGAGCTACAGCGATGACTAGATCAAGCAACAGCAGCAAGACGATGAAGTGTAGGAGGAGAAACTACTTAGCAGCGGTGAAGGTGATTTTTGAGAGAAGCAGGAGAGGCACTCTCGATTGTGGGGGCAATTTTAAGATTTTAAATTTTTATCTACTTACCCTCCACTCGGGAAATGGATTTACCCGTAGATTCCAATAGTATCATTTACCTGAATAAGTGACGCCTAGAAAATTAAACTTACGACAAGTTCCACACATTTTGAAATCTAAAGATAGGTAAATGGGTCAACGGGATTCACAATCCCATTGACCAGACATTCCCTTTCACTTTACAAAAACGAACACGCCCTTAATGGAAATGTTTGTTTGTTTCTTCTCAATTTTATTAAGTTTTGAGCAGAGAGAGAGGTGGCGTATTCTCTTTGACTATCAACAGGAAAAGAAGGGAAGATGAAAATAGTCGAGGCTGCATTGTGAATTGCAGTTTTGTCTCTTCACTCTCCTGTCTTTTTGTTTTCTTTTTTATCTTTGATTCTATTGCCATTCGTGGATGAAGGGAAAGAGGGAGTGGAAAAATAACAGAGGGGATAAGATGAGAACGTGGTAGCGGTTCTTCTGGTGGTGTTGCTACAGTGGAGGGTAAAAGGTGGACTCTCCACATAATGTGAGCTCTCATAGGTCGTTGCCATCATGCCATACAGCAAAAGTATCTCCTTTTCTGGGCCTCTACATGGATTAAAATTTTGGAGTTTTTAAAAGTTTTTTATTTTTTGAATTTCTGAAAATTTATCACAATTCGGGGGAGGGGTGTATTGTAACATAAGTGAGGATTTGTGACAATACATTCAGAAAATCGATTAAAATTTTGAGGGGAACAAACCATAGATTTTCCTAAATTTTTTGGCACTACGCGAAAAAATAAGAATCCAATGCATGCATAGACAACATGGAGTCACCCACTCCACTCTTGATTCTAAATGATTTTCTAGTTTATACCAATGGCCAAGCCCTCTTCGTTCACTACAAGGAAAATGATCTAGGCTGACGGTCACCAAACTAGGCGTGTTCAAATTTGGTTGATAAGCCAAAAATTAAATTGAACCAAATTGAATAAGCTAATTCGGCTATCGGTTCGGTTCAGTTTGATTTTTATTTTCTAAAAAAATCAGTTTTCGGTTTTGATTCGATTTGACTAAAATTTTCAACCAAACTAAATTGAAAATCGAATTAATGTTATTATTTAGTTAAGTATATTAAACATTAATGTTTTATTTAATACTTTATGCTAATTAATTATTATATTTCGTAATGAATAATTAATAATAGTTAATTAAAACCTAGATTCATTATTAATTGTCTATTATTCATTAATCATTAATTATTTTTGAAAATGGTCAATTCACCGATTTCCCATTGGCATAGGGCTTGGGGTCTATTTTAGTTTTTTAATTAATAATAGCTAATTAATTAAAACCATTGGACTTTGGGGTCATTTTAACTTTTAATTAATAGTTAATAGTTAATTAATTAAAACCATTGGGTTTGGGGGCCATTTTAACTTTTTATTAATAATACTTATTAAATGCTTTTCATTTTATGTGGAAGTGGAAGTAGGGTCCAATCAAACTAAATTCGGTTAAGTTTGGTTCGGTTCTAACTTTTAAAATATAATTCGGTTAGAGGAAATGATAAAACCAAATAGTTGGTTAGATCCTCAGTTTGAACCAAACAGACCAATTGTACACCCCTACACCAAACCACCAACTTAACTTTTTAAACCGCTGCTAACATAGACATGAGCCGGTGGTTCAGTGGCTACCATTTATGTTTGTGCTGCCCTAGGTCATGAACGCTGGCCTAGAAGACAAAGCCCATTGCCTTAAGGACTTGGTCCAACCATTCACAATCCGGCGGTTTTTCAGAGAATCGTCTGCACAATGTCAAAAAAAGCGATTTATCAAAAAAAAAATCTTTGGCCCAAATAATCTAAGGCGATAGTCGAAATCGCTAGGACAAAATAAGCTAAACGACAGTTACTTTCTAATCACTGACATAGGTCCAATGATAGTGGCGGTCCTGACCGCCGACCTAGGCATTGTAAGCCGACAACCACAACTGTCGGAACAGATTATGGTGGACGACGATTTTTTTTCTTGATTGCCGCCTTAGCACCATTAAGGGTGGTGGTTAAGACTGCCAATATTGATGTCGTTTAATTCTATTTTCAATTCAAAGCGGTGATCAAGACCTCCGGCTTAGATCCATTTGTCATTTTAATAAACTGCCACCTTAGTCAAATTATGTAATCAAATCCACCGCCAGCTTAGACTGAATTGTCATCTCACTAAACCGCCAGTCTTATTTCATCAAAGATGGTGGCATAGATCCAGTATAAACCACCAACTTAGGTATATTGATTTGCCAAAGGCGGTGGTTTCTATGACCTCCAGCTTAAATTTTACTTTTTTTTTTAAATAATAATAGCAATCGGCACCTTCTTCAACCTAAAGCGTAAAATTATTAAATCAATTTCATGACGGCATATTGAATTTTTTTTACTAAAAATAGCATTTCATTAATTATGAGACTGAAACCTGAAACAAGAATTCAATACAATCAGTTCTGGTAATCTGATTTGCTCTTCTAATCAAGTTCTAGTAATCTGATTTGCATTGCTATTTTTCAAGTGACCAATGCTTCATAAACTTCTAGAGAACATCAAAATAGTCAGGGGAGGTTTTCCTGGTGCATCCTGGATCCATTATGGTGATAGGAACATCCTGAATCCTTTATTTGAGCCATCACCTGTAAAGCTGCATTCACATCTCTTCTCAAAAACCTTTGGAAGTTGAATTAACTACCTTATGAAAAAAATGGGTCTAGAGAGAGATAAACAACCAGAAACATATTAAAATCATAATGGAGTTACCATAATGAATCCGTGGCGAAGAGTGAAATAATTGATTTTAGAAACAGACGCATAGAATTGTCGAATAAAACAGGCCTACACAAGATTGCAATTTTAGTACAACTCTTTTAATTAAAAGATCTAACAAATACTGGCAAGAGATAGTATTACTTCTTCTGCAGAACTTACAGGCCAATGAAGCAAACGGTGCTCACTCCAATACTTGAGATGTCGTTTGCCAAATGATGTTTGATGAGTGAGCCTAAACCTCTTCGGATCTTCATGTTTTTTTAAGTCCTCAAGTAATTAGAATGTATTACTCAAATGAAATGGAGAGAAGGATATCAGGATTAAATGAACATGTATTCTGTTACTTCTCTACTTGTAATGACACAGACAGTTAAATCCCATACACAAACATGATTCAATTGCATCCAGTCCATGCTTTCAGCAATGGGTAATATGATAATTATGAACAGTACTGTTTTAAAACCTAGCTCGGAAGTTAAATCACTTTGCCTCCGGATCAATGGATTACCGGTTCAACCATCCAGTCAATGTGTCAAGTGTCAACCCATATGATGCCATCATTATAATAAATTAAAATGACAAAAAACACGGTAACCCATTGAAGGAGTCAGATGAGTGAAAGATTCAACCAATTGGATCGATGGATTGTTGACTGAGTTGGTATTTATTATCAGGTTTATTAATTACCAGATATGCATTTTTTTTCCTGGAAAAGGGGTTAGATTTTCACTTGTCAGGCTGAGTAAAGAATTGCCACCTGAAGGACCCACCAAAGGAGGAAGAAAATAGAAAACAAGTGAAAACTCTCAACTTGAACTTACATTCTAGAGTTCTTGTTTCTTCTTCCCAAGACTCTCATTTCTTCATCTGATGAATTAAAATAGAAGGGTCATTAGTCAAAAATAAATATAATTTTTTCGAGATCAATCTGCTTATAGACTGCTTAGACACAGCCTTCAAATTATAATTTTCAAAGGTCAAATTTGTTGATTAATATGTTTCAGAGAACAAGTAATAGAATAGTTAAGAAAAGAAGCATAAGAAGTTAATAAACATAATGTATCGTGTATGTAATATCAGAAGTAACTACCTTGGCCACTCCAACACCAAAGGTGAGAATGCATACTGTAGTTGCTTGACACCGTTTATGGACAAAGGAGAAACCTTTCCCTGCTCATAAGAATCAAACCAAAAACATCATCACAACTCATAGTCAAATTAAAATCACATAGTGACAATCTACATACTCAAAACCCATCAGTCATCCATTTAGGGATGTTCTCCACTTCTCCCGCATGTTTTTTTGGTCCCATATTATGATTCTTAAAACAAAAGCACAGAAAACACGATATTTATCTGCATGGAGTATTTTTTTCCAAAACTGGAATCAGAAACACTGTTAAATTTCTGGTTTCAAAAACATGTTTCAATGTTTTCCTCCTGTGGTTTAGTATTAGGTTTTATAAAGCATACAGTATTCTGACAATAAATTAAAGGCTCTGATCAAATGGGTATTAGCTCAGCTTTCTTTTTTTTTATCTTTTTTTTTTCAGTAAGAAATGAAGTTAATCCATTAAACTGAGAAAGGAACCCCTGCAGGCAAGAAGGAGAAGAGAAGAACCACTCCCCCTTAGTACAGTTTCTGCTAGCTAGAAAATGAGCAAGAGTTGCTTGAGCGCCTAACAAATTTCCAGCAAAAGTGATTATTAAAGCTTCTCAATTTGTTTTTGATCTCTTGAAACAGAGGATAGAATTCATTGGATGCATAGTCCAGCCCAAGATTTAGAGTGTTGACCAGAACAGTCACAAAAAAGCTTGAAATTGTGGAAACCCAACTCCTTTGTGAGACAAATCGCATAGAAGATTGCAGCGGCTTCAGAGAAAAGAGCTGAGCAAGGCAAAACACTACCAGTCCAAATGTAGAGTTCTAAATTAGCAGCCAGAAAACCACCATTAGAGTTCAAAATTACGATACCAACTCCTGCATAGGATCCATTGATGAAGCTGCCATCAGTCCAAATGTAGGCAAAACTTGTGTGGTGAGCTCGGGGACCAAGGCTGGATCTAATTTTGGAAATCCTCAACGGGGCCAATGTTGGAACTTGCTGCTGTAAGAGATTTGATTCCTGCATGGTTCTATTAATATAAAAGAGAGTCAGCACAGAATTCTCTAAGCAATTTTCAAAGACCAGTTTGTTTCTTCTCAACCAGTTTGTTTCATGAGCTTGACTATAAACCAGGTGATTAGGAAGTAAGCCAGTCAGATGTTCTGCAGTAGCAGCTAAAGCAGCTTTTACAGGCCTCCTGTGGAGAATAAGTCAAGTATCAGGATTGTTGACAAGGCTTTTATTAGCTAAGAAATTTGGATTGAACCAAATAGATTGTGCTTTAGTAATTAAAATTTCTCCTGTAAAGAGCCACACTTTCCTGAAAGCTTCCTGATGTTACTGAGTTGTGCCAACTGCCAAGTGGAACTTCCTAGCAGTTACCAAAGCAAAGATCCCACAATTTTCAGTATTAAATGATTTAGAAAGTAAGCAAAAGTGTGCTCCATAGTCCATACAGCTTAAAAACTGTGAGTTGAAGGCCCAATCTTATGTTAACACCTATATCATGTGATACTCGGTGTTGCATGGACTCTCCTAAATGGATGATGTATCCATGTCAGAGTGAAGAAATCTCTATGGAGTAACTATGGACTTGCAGAAATTTAACCAAGCATGGGTAAACGGTGAGAGTAACTATGGTTTCTCATCTTTCTGCACCAGACTCTCATCTTTCTGCGTCATATGCCATTAGCCCCTCCTTTGAAACCTGAAAACAGTACCTGCTCATTAATGATAAATTCCATACTCTGGTCTCTGGTACCATATGAAACACGACTATACACAAGCAGTAAACAAGTTACCGAGGCCAGCCACTTCAATTAGATGAGTTCCTGTTGGTATGTTGTGGATATAAGCATGACAGGCGAAGGAATAACAATGCCCACAAAATTATATATCAGCAATTACTACCATAACACATTGCAGAAATTGCATCCTATTGTTAAACTGAGCTTCTGCAAGTCTGAAGCAACAAATGCTATTATGGGCCAACTTTAGAACCAACCTAATCAGAATGAAGGTTTCTCATATGGAACACAAATTATCTTGAAAAGATTACTTCTCTAAATAAACCTTACTATAAGATACTCTGTAAAGTGATCAGAGTATCCAGTTCACCCCTCCAAGACGGATAACCAGGACCAATACCGGGTAATGGCCCCTAAACTGATCTATAGAAAATCTACGGCAAGGATTATACACAGTTTTTGACTGATTAGTGATGAGAAAAAATCTACAGAACGTGAGCTCTATGAGGCTGAAACTGGAGGCGTCCCAGATGTCTACATGTTTAGACAAGAACCAAGACGATAACCAATTTAACCCTGTGCCATTAGACAAGAACAAGAAATTAAAGACGCACAATGGTGCATAATTCATAGGCAGCTGAAGTGCAAAACAAGTACACTGTTGAGACTAGAGATCATTTGGTAGGAAGCACTAGTCTACATATCTAGACCCAAATCCTATAATAATATCACTCAATGCATATTTATACTATAATGGTTATTTATCAACAAAAAAAAAAAAAAAATGACGTTTTCTAGTATGATTCAAACACTTGTCTTTGAATTCCATCCAAAACCCAATAAATTTCATCAATCTGAGGATGTAATCTTTCCCCTGCAACAAATTCATGGGTAACTCCGCCCAACTGAATTGAACTACAACCGGCACTTTTGTTGACCCTTCTAGCATCCATCAATCTCCTTATCTTGGCAACATCTTCCCATCTCCTCGCATGAGCATAAATGCTTGCCATGATTGAGTAGACCCCACCATCTTCAGGGTCCAACTGCATTATGTGCTTAGCAGCAATCTCAGCGACCTCAACGTTCCCATGGATACTACACCCACCTAGCAAACCGCCCCAGACAAACACATCACCCTCCATTGGCATGCCTTGTATCATTCTTATTGCTTCTTTGATCAACCCAGCCCGTCCTAGCAAGTCAGCCATGCATCCATAGTGCTTCAGCTCTCGGGGAAGCCCATAGACGCATTCCATGTCGTTGAAAAGCTGTTGGGCCTCATTGACGAGACCCGCGTGGCTACACCCAACCAAGACCCCCAAGAAGCTTACCCCATCTGGCTTAATCCCTGCCTCCTTCATTCTCCTGAAATACTCAAGTGACAACTCCCCGTCTCCATGCATGGCAAGCCCGACAATCATTGCATTCCACGTAAATAGTTTCTTCTCCTCACTCGACTCAAAGACTTCTCTAGCAAGGTCTATGCAACCACATTTGGCATACATGTCCACTAAGCCAGTCGCCAAGAATGCATCTAATCGAATTTGGTTTTGCTCAATATGATTATGTATAATCTTTCCTTGATCAAGTGCCCCGAGTTGTGCACACGCAGAGAGAGCAGAGACCAATGCAATGTTGTTAGGTTTCAGCCCTGAAGCGAGCATCTGATTGAAGAGTTGAATCGCTTCCTTGCATTGGTTCATCTGGGCATACCCCGCCAAAAGGGTTCCCCAGGTCACGTCATCCCTTACGAGCATCTCATCGAAAATGTCGCGTGCCCGGCTTGTGTTGCCGGCCTTCACGAAGCCATGAATTATGGAATTGTAAGAGACGACATCCCTTTGGGGAGTCACATCGAACAATTGGCATGCATCAGTCATGGAACCCAAATCCGAGTAAACATGAATCAAGCTGTTGAGGACAAACAGATCCGACCCGAAACCGAATTTGACAACTTGGGAGTGGAGGGTCTTGGCAAGGGCAAGTGCACGGAGGCGAACAGACGCCTTTAGGACGAAGGGAAAGGTGTGAGTATCGGGAGGTATGCATAGGCGGCGCATCTTAGCAAAGAGAGAGAGGGCAGAGAGAGGAGATGAGAGGAGGGTGTAGACCCGGATGATGGTGTTGTAACAAAAGGTGGAAGGGTTTGGAATTTGGTTGAAGATGCGTAGTGGGTAGTGTGGAGAGGTGGTGGTGAGATGGTCGAGGAGTGAGAAGGTGTAAAGGATCTTGGTTAGAATTAGTGATGGGTAGAGAGACATGAGGCCCCTTGTGGTGGCTTGGGCATGGACCTGTTGGAGTTGTTTAGAGGTCTTGCAGTTATTGATGAGGAGAAAGGTTGGATGTGTGGAGATTAGCATCTCATTCTCTCCTACCAAATTTCAATTTCTATGTTCCCGAGTCCCGACTACTCCTGAGGTTGATTGAATCTGATGAGTGATCGTATTCATGCCCGTTAAAACCATCTTCTTTTCTCTACATGTGCTTCATGTTCTCACTTGTTATTGCTACAAACTCAACTCATAGTCATAGTCATAGCTGACGATCTTCGTGATTGTCAAATCCATTCCAACCCTTTGACCATTGGATCTATCAGCGGCATTCTAATGCAAATGTTCTAGATTTGCATACAAAGGTGTAATTGTGTAAATCGGGTGCAGCCCGTGCCGTGTTAATGTGCGGATCGAGTCAGGCCGTGCTTTCTTCTTTCATTTTTTGAAATATTTTAAAGGGTCGGCCTGGCATGGAACAGCACAGGCCGTGCTTCCTTCTTTCATTCTTTAGACATTTCTTAAAATGCATTTGGCATCATGCAATTTCCCGCGTTTTAACCTTTGTTTGGTTTATATTTCAAGGTGCTACACAATCGGGTAATCCATCCCCAATCACCATGCATCTCCCTTTTAACCTTTCCAATCCTGATGATAACAGTGGGATTTGATTTCAGGTTTCTACTACAACGGTTAGGCTTAATATTTGGTATAATCTTAGAGGGCATTTGTCTTGTATTACACAATACCTAATGCAGTTACACAGGTTTGATCCTGTGATTTGGGAGGCAGAACCACCTTCTCAGCTACAGCTGGCTCGTCGGCCACCACCGGCATTTTAACATAAAAATAAGAGGCAGAACCACACGAGCTCGAACCACACCACTTTTCTGACTTGTGAGCTGCAATAGACCCTCTATATGATTCGGCAAGTAGGCACATTGAAAGTTGAAAAAGCACAAAATTATTCTAATTAACTTATTATATTCAAAATATATAAAAAAAAAAATAGAATGTAGATTTTTAAATATTTAAACACCTGTTCAAAAGCTTAGTGTAGTGCATAATTAATTTATGGTTAAGCACTTATTTTATGGTTTAGCAAATGGATACAAATATATCTTACTGTTTAAGAAATTACACATTTCTGACAATGGATAAAATCCTCCTTTATCATTACCATGTTGTTATAATCCGTTCGTATGTCATGTAACATGTATAATTTTTCTTAATTTTAAAACTACCATTTTGCGATCGATTCTACCCTTCATTGCTCTTTAAATTTTTATCTACCTCAGAATCAAATTAATTTGAAATTTTTCATCCACTTGGAGAGGCCACCATCGGTGAAGAGAGGGTTAGATTCTGAAAAGTCTCAACTGAGTACCAAAAAATGCAGGTGAAGGGGCAGACATATGGTTTCAGTCCATTGCTGCAAGAGCCTCTGTTCAGCTCTGCTTGATGTTGCCACGCCCAAGTAACTAACTATGCTATTAAAGAATCTATAACTATGAAACTCTGTTGCTAAAAAAAAAAAAAGGTCGTTGGTTATGAGATTGAGTTTTCTTCGATTTGGAGAAACGATCCCCTCCGAAGCTGATCAAATCAATCTCTGACATGCAGCGGCATCCATGAGCATCTTCAGAGTTGCTTTGATGGAGAAAGTGGATGCTACGTTGAACCCCTGGTTTGTTACGAGCCCATGTCTTGGATTCCCTGTTCTCTGTATAGCATTATCTTTTTCAATTCTTTAATTTGGTAGTTGAAATCAGTACCCGGCCCTCACGTACGTGTATCTCCAAACTACAGCTCCACCATGTACACTAAACAGGCCAAGAATCTGGCTTTGACAAAAAGAATGAATCATATCCATACCAAATTCCATTACATGCTGGACTCTTTTCTCTTTCTTTCTTGGTTAAGACGAAGATTTATGTCAAACAATGCTTGTATTTAAAAAGAATTGTTTAATACTAGCACAGCAGCCGAGCAACAGCAAAAGTACAACAAAGAATGCCATTGTAGATGTTTTCGTTTAATCGATTATGGAATGTTTTTATAAGTGGACACCGCCAATGCTTCTGCTAGGGTTGTGTATTAGCATATAGTTATAAACTTACAGTTGTAGTCATGCATCACTTACGTTGAAGGTGCTTGCTTTTGCTTACAACTGACAAGTATAGAGGCTTCTTCTGCAGCATATATGTGTAAATCAGGCCATGTCGCCTGCAGCTCGGCCTGATCCGATGGTTCATGAGTCGTGCTGGGTATGGCATGATTGTATAGGCCATGCCGGGCTTAGGATTTTAAGTCCGCGAGCCATGCCACCCATGGCCCGTGGTTCAATATGGCCCATAAATATATATACTATTATATTAATAAAATAAACAATTGTTTTCAATTTTATTATACTATCTTATTTAATTATTGTATATATAAACAATTGTATACATTAAAATTCATATAAAATAAAGAATTTTAAGATTTTTTAATTTTTTTAAATAAATAACTTTAACCCGGTCTACTATCCGTGGCATGGCATGAGTCCGTGTGGATTCAGACTGTGGGCCATGCCAGACTAACCCACAAAATAACCCAAGAGAAGGAGGCATGGCCTGGGATGACCCATGGGCCATGCCGTGCCAGCCCAACATAGCCCGTTTTATAACTCTACCTATGCAGGAATGGACTGAAACCATATGTATGCCCCTTCTACCATTGTTATTCAGGTTATCAGGTTGGTTCCTTTTATTTTAAGTTTTTGATCCCTAGAACTTGTTTCCACTGGGTTCTAATAAACCTTCTCTTTTCTATTGTTTGATTGAACGGAAGGATCACTCACTGAATTCCTTTTATTCTGGTTTTGGTTTGGTTTGAGTGGAGTTAAAAATCTTGGAAGAATTATTTGGTTTTGGGATTTCAGATCTAGACTTAGAGTTAGGGCAGATATAGGTGGAGAAGAAATGTTACTGTTTGAAAATTTGAAGAAAAATAAAAAATAAAATAGTCTTTTTAATATATTCTTTACCGATTTCTGACGATTGTGCATTTCAAAAATGTCCAAATGCTTTAAATAAATTCTTAAATTATAAGGTATGTTTGTATCCACTTACTAAATCATAAGGCTAGTTTAAATATTTAACCCTTAATTAATTAAGAATTGTTGCCCTGCTGGTGTTGGATATGCTCGAACATCGATCAATACATTATCATAGTATTGTGGTGTTGACGAGAGTGTCGACCAGATTTTCAAAGATTGTCCTATAACAAAGCAGAATTGGAGGCTAGCGGATCTTTTGGAAAAATTGGAGTCCATAAACAGCTGGTGGCTAAAGATGGGCCAAACAATCCACTATGATACTGATAGAGAGAAAATCGGTATTATTTTGTGGCTTGTGTGGAAAAACAGAAATAATAAAATCTCTAACGATAAAAGCAACGATCCTTCTTGGATTTTTGAGCAGCAAGCTCTCTCCTACAAAGAGTTAGGGATGTCTTGGACTAGACCAGTCCATCAGCATCGAGGGAGACTCTCTCATTGTCATTTCATGCCTCGAAAAGAAGATCAAGACTCCTTGGAGAATTAAAATCATCATCGACGATTGTAAAAAGCTTGCGGGGAAGCTGAATCGTAGAGCAATGTATTCTCATGCATTGAATGGCACACAAAACTCTCAAAGCAAACTCCCCTCTCATCCTAAGCCCCTCCTCTCTCTCTCTCTCTCTAAGAATTTGGATTTCATTTGCTGATGCGATCTTTGGCCTAGGCTTGTGTACGTAGCTCCTCTTTATTCTACCAAAAACATACGTTATGTTAGTGTTTTATTTTCTTTTTTTTTTGTGAAAATTTGTATCCATTTCTGATTGATCAAGCAAGACGAAGAGATGCCCTCATTTCCTCGAAGACAAACAAGCACATTCTGACGAAATATGAAGTGAAGTAGATGGGTGAGAGAGAATCCCATAAGGCTATAATGCATTCATTTTCCTTCAAAATATCAATATATGATATGAAATGCTGATGCAGGCCCCCAGCTAGTTAGCTGCTTTTAGCCGTATATGTAGCAATAGAGGAGAAATTGCATACAGCTTTATTGGGTTTCAGGCTGCTTTAAGCTTCGCGTGCACGAAACGTTGACATGATTGTGGAGTATGTTAGTAATATGATTAATATTCTATCTATTAAATTAAAAAGACAAACTAGCTAGGGCTTAGGGGATTGAATGAGATAATCAACGTGCAATCTACAGGAATCCCCCAAATGATCATAAATTTTCTCTTCTCTTTTTCTTATCCTGTGGAGGATATTCTATTTCTTCCTAGTCGATCGATTCACCTTAAAATTAAATTCAGAAATCTATGGCTACTAATTAATTAAATTCTATCTAGCCATGTGCAATTAACCTCTCCACATTTGCCATCTCCCACCGAATATATCCACGCACTAATTATATTGCCTTTAATCCACTACCTTTTGACTGTCTTCAACATATATAAATAATATTAAACCAAAGATGATCGAGTAGTATATTAATTTTTTATTTTGATATATAGATGATCGGGGTTATATTAATTGGTGTCATTCATCCTCATGTGGACACATTATTCC